TCTCTCTCTCTCTCTCTCTCTCTCTCTCTCTCTCTCTCTCTCTCTCTCTTTCTTTCTTTCTTTCATTCGGATTCCAGAGACAGCTGTCTACAAAATCATAAGATAATCTGAAATATCTTCAGATAGTCTGTATTTTGTTGTGGCCATCAGAAAATGCTTAAGTCTAAGAGGTCACTGTTAAGCCTTCATGAAAATATTCTGGGAAATGTTCATGCCATATAGACAACTGTTCAGCTTGCCATGCAGAACAGTCATTCAGACTTCCTTTTCTCTCTTCAAACATACAAGAGAATTCAGTTCTACCCAATTCAACAATGATTCTTGAGAATTAAGCTATCCGATCTTATTTTATTGTCCCTGCCCAATTCCTGTAACGAATTCCAAAAATGGAGTTCTGACTCCTGTAGACCATGTAAGACTCTACTTTTCTGTGTTTTCTTTGTTTTATAAAGTCATCTTGATAAACTTCATATCTCTTTGAATGGTTGCGATTATGCTGTCCAGGCTAAACAAGTTATAAAAATTATACTAGAAATGCTTTAAAACAAAGCAATAGAATATTTCCTCACTGCTAGCCTTTATAGTGTTCTTTCCCAACCTAATTATCCTACCTCTATTTGATCTCTTTCAAAATTTCTCATTAGTAAAGTTCCATTAACCCTCCTACAAGCTTGACAACAAATCTTGTGAACCTACTGAACCTTTCGTCAAGGCCCTTTAATTTGACACTAAATTTGTCTTTAATTCCTATCGATGCCACTCGGCTAATCTCACACTGCTCAGTTGTGGTTCCCTTGAGAACATTTCTCTCTCCCCAGCCTTCTGTGCATTTGCCTCGAAATCTTGCTATATTACCTTTTCTTACTGAAAGACCCTCCAGTGTTTACTGCATCTAAATTCAAATGAAAGGGCTTCACCAAATCTTTGTTTATGCTGCAAAACTTTAACAGAGTGTCAGGTTCTAGAGCTACATTTTTATAAACTCTTCTGGATCGAAAATTGTCTGCACATAAAATATGTAAAGACAAAGCAGACTGTATCTTTAATTTTCTATGTTAATTTAATGCATTTGCCACTGAATGTTCTCATTTCCGAGATTAAAATTCATGGTTATTTATGTCATTTACAGTGGTAAGAATGGCTTTAGAGTTGGCATAGTTGTCAATACATGAAACCTATCATTCTAAGAAGATAGTTCTTTATTCTTCAATGACCTCTAACAAGACTAGCCTAGCACACCTTAATACCTATGCACCAGTGAATTGAGTTTGATGTCTAAAAGCAACTAATATGATCATCTTTGGAATTCTATATTCCTAAATTTCAGGATGTATTACAATAGCAAATTTGAATAAGATTTCACAGTTATATTAAAGTTTCACATGCTCAAAACTATGTATTCTCTATCTTCATGATTGTATCACAGCCTTCTTTAATATTTTGTGAGAAGTTTAAGCCTCTTACAATGCCTTGAGTAACACCACCCACCAATACTTGAGTGACACCTCCCACCAATACTTCAGTGACACCTCCCACCAATGCTTGAGTGACACCTCCCATTATATTTTGGCTGCTTATGCTTAGGCTGTTTTGTCTTCATGAAATACTCCCTAGTATTTCCCTTGAATTAATCTTCATCTTCCCTAACCTGAAGAGCCAAGATGGCCTGGTTCAAACTCTCTGAAATTATTCATGGTTTTGTAGGGCTACATCTCTAATGGAGCCATAGTTTTCTGCCTCCTGAGTTATTCTTATAAATGTTTTCTGCTTTCATGGCTATAAGCATATATAAACAGTATTCTGTCATAAACATTTGACAAAAGAATTGGAGTTGCTTGGCGTCTGGAAGCAAGAAAAATTATTAGGATACTATTCAAGGCAGTTATTTTAGTGAATCAATGGAAATAACAGCTCTATGTACTTCTAATGCCATGCGATCTCCACAAACATCCAGTAAAGCTAGAACATGATTTGAATAATTGTTTAGTCTTTCTACTTCTTAAGTATGTAACCAAGCACGTGTAGCAAGCTTGGTCTTTGGTTCTTCATGTAGTAGCTTCCATTCTTATTTTTCAATAATCTCACTTTCAGTATGAGTTTGTTCAGTAGCGTTCGATACAAAGCTGACTCATGTTTTGCTTGCATATATTTTAAACCTTAATAAAATTATGTATTTATGAATTTATTTAAAGGAAGGAGTACTCTGTCATGAGTCACCATGGGGTTACTGGAGGTTGAATTCAGGACCTCTGGAAGAACAGCCAGTATTTTTACTGCTGAGCCATCTCATCTTCACCGGCCCACACATATATGTGTATCTGTATGTATATGTATACATATATATTTGTCATCACCTGTTACATATCAGAATTAAAAACTCCAGGTCAAATATATGCATTAATAAGAAGATGCATATGTATGATGGCTAGAAAAATCAATGTGGATCTTATGTCTATATGAACATCTTTATGTACGAATATTTCATACATGAGAATGAAAACTTCAGAAAAATACTATCTATAACCTAACATTCTAAGTTATGAGAAAAAATGCATGTTCTTTCTGGAGTTTATATTCTAGAAGATACCTATATATACAGATACAGACAGCAATAAGCAAATAACTCATCTATTTTTAAATCCATACATTTTTCTTCTTACCCCATAGAACTTCAATATAAACTTGGCAAAAGACTAAATGGACAAATGCACCTTGGAACTCTGGGGACTGAGATTAAAGATACAGTTCGTTCTTGAGGCTTTTGCTCCGGATTGTTGGATCACCAGAGAGCAATATACCCTTTTATCTTTATTCCCTGAAGAAATGTCTTTCTTGAAATATGATTAAATGTTTTGCCCTCAGCTTTTAGAAAAATGTCTTAGTGAACAGTGTGCTTTGTCTTTTGTTATCCTGTGACCCCAATTTAAGAACCCTTGCAATACATTTATCCTTAAATCCTCGACCAAGACATTAGACTATTCAATCTAAATTACACTCTTCTGGTCAGACAAAGAGAATAAAAACCACCAAGAAGTCTCCCTTTGTTTCTCAGCTTCCTTGAAAGCTGGTTCAGTTTAGGGCTTTGTGGTTCAGATACCTTGTTGTATACATTCGTCTTCTGGCTTGAATCAGTTTCTGATACTGAAGTGTGCTATAGTGCAAATCATTTTATAGATTTCTTCAAAGGAAAATGTCCATACACAATAATTACTAATGTTTGTGTCTCTGTGCAATTCTGAACTGAAGAAGAATTACTTTAAGTTTAGTTTAAAATTGCAAAGACAACTTCACACATGATATTTCTGGACAATTTAAATACGGTGTTTTTTAAGGATATTTTATACATAATGACATATTTTTGTAACAAGGAATTATATTTCAAATATTTATACATTACCCCTAGTTATTATAAATTACTATATCTATGTAATCCTACATAATTCTATAATAAAAATGTTTGCATTCGTATAAAAGAGTTAACAAAAATATGAAGGGATTGTCAATTCTCATTATTGACTTTGCTCTCTTCAAGATAACCCAATGAATGGTAACCATCATTTTCAGAAATGTACATGACACCAGCTCGGTATGAATTAGTTTATATTCTTTGTTCACTTTTGCACATGTATTTGTGCATGGTGTACATGCCTGTGCATGTGTGCACACATCTGTGTGTGATGTTTAAGTGTGCATGTGAACATGCATGGGTGGAGTTTGAGGTTGATGTTGGTTATCTTTCTTGATTGCTCTTCACCTTACATATTTGGGGGTCTCTTCATTAATCTGAATATGGTCTACCTAGCCAGCTCATTCTTGGTACTGCCTGTTTCAGCCTCTGCCCCTCAGATGAATTATAAGTAGGTTCTAGTACCCATTTGGCTCTTACACTACATTCTTGGGGCTCTTTACTGTAGATCTCTTATTTATCTGATGAAAAATTTACCAACAATCTTCCTAGTCCCTTAAGATTTTTTAAAAGGAAAAAATGTGAAGAAAGGTGACATTTCTGGATTGCCCCAATGTATATAATATAATCCATATAATATTTTGCTTATTTTTCATGTTAATCCTACAAGGTTATTTATTATTATTGTTGTTGTTATTGCTATTGTTATTGTTGTTGTGACTTTCAGAGATATTAATGGTTAAAGGGAATACTAAAACCATCTAATGGCTAGAGCAGTGAATTTGAGATTAAGCTTACTCAGGATTAGATAATTCATAAGGAAACATAGCCAGAATTCATGCTCAATGTTTTTGGTTCTGATGTCACTAAGTATTCTTTTCTGTGTGGCTACTTAATAGGCCTTATAAATCCTGTATGCTTGGTTCTTATGGTCCATAGTGAGTGATGTATCAATCCATGATGAAGTAGAAAAAGAGAAAGAATGGAAGGAAGAAAATTAGGGGGTGAGAGGAGAGAGAATAGAGGGGAAATGAGGGGAGAGGGGGCAGGGAAGGGCAGAAGAGATTGGAAGGGAGGTGGACAGTTTATGAATTCAGAGAGGTTTGTAGAGATCCCTCTTTGAAGAACTTGGACCACATATTGTCATGGGTAGCAATCTAAGACCTAGAATAAGCTAGAGGACTGTTTTCTGATTGTTTTAGGCAATTTACAGGAGGATATTAGATTATCTCCTTTTTAATTGGTGAGTTAATGCTGTATTTTCTAAAAAGAAGTTTTATATACTTATAAAACTTGGTAATACAATACCTTGCCAAACCTAAACTCAAACCTGAAGCTATACCTCTTTATAGATAAAGACACAGGCTTTAAACATCCAAATCTTCCTAGGACATAGATCTATTTGGGAATCAGATGAGTACAGAGACAACTGCCCACACTCTATACATATGTAGGCTTTCTAAAGGCTTTCCATGAACTTCAGAGACTACACAGGTTCCTGCCAACAATACATGGAGGTCAAGGACTCTGAAGTAACAGCAGAGAAGAAAATTGGTCTTGCTAGGACAGTGGCCAACCTCGTTCTTGATAGATTAGAATATTTATATATATTTAAGTAAAGTTGCCTCAAATAAAAGCAGCATCACAGATACTGCTAATTTTTATGCAAAAATAAATAGAATTGGCCCTGTCATAACTGTTCTATTCTGGTATCTCTACTTTGGAGTCCTAATAGCTTTTCTAGCTTCTTTTTTTGTGTGTCAGCTTATATCTCTGGTTTACTACTAGGCTTATGGATTATGTATTTGTGAAAATTCTCTCAAAAGACAATTCTTATTAACTGCATAACAATTTGAGAGCATTTGGATTCTCCTATATCATGCCTCCTTTAGCATGTGATATTCTTTTATAGTTTCAATTGAAAGTAAACAGACAGACCTGTATGACAGAGCTTTGTGTGTGTTCATGTCTCTGTGTTCCAATACGGACAATCTGATTATGCCTTTAAATTAAAACTGGAAAAGAAATGGCACCGTATTCTCATCGCTTCAGGTTAGCACAGAAGGGATGCTCTCTAATGTTATTTTTAAGGCACTAAGACCTAGCTGTTATTTAGCATTCTCTGAAGTGAACTACCTCCTTGCAAGCCTCAGTGGCAATTGCTGGCCATACCTTTTGTTCCGCTGTCATGGTTAGACTTTGCAAACGGCCAGTCATATTCCCTAAACTCTTTTCAAAAGCTGCTACGAGATGAGCCTGCAGGAAAAAAAAATAGAAGAAAGATGGTTAAAATGTGTCAGAATCTCATGTGGATAAGATAAAACCCCTTCATTTTATAAAGTGCTTAATTTCAGCCATTGCAGTGTTTTCAGTAATGTGACCATCACGGCTATTTCCCAGCAAAGATGCTTCTTTAACACGTATCTGCATTTTCCAAATCTAAACTTTGGTCTGCTAAACTCAGTGTTGCAGTCTTTTGACATTTAATGTGAACTCGCCTTCCAAAAGGGGATGGTATTTTGCAAATAACAACACCTTCTGACTTGCACATCACGCAGCGATCTGACACCCAAAATACCGAACGAATTTCCCAGCTGCCAAGTTTTTAGAAAGAAAGGGCCCAAAAGGAGGTCACTGAAACAGTCAGTGGACAAATGCTCTTCATTTTTCTACTTCCATGATGACCTTTGAAGATATTGTTAGCTCTTCTACTGTGCGAATGTTTTCCTTCAAGTGTCAGACATCTGCTGACAGCTAGAACATTATCTTTTCTCTTTTGCTACTTACAAAGAACTGCCTGGGAAAGAGTTGTCTTCACTCTAAAAATCTCTGGAATAAAAGGATGTTTCTGGCCACCCCACCTCCCTTTCGATCTCCTCAACTTAAGGAATAAGATCTGGCCAACAGAAATGCATATGGTCAAATTCAACATTAAGCTCTGATGGATTCGGGTTTTTATTTTAAATTTTAGAGAAGTACATACATTGTAGTATATAACCATCACACTTACGATTTGAAATGGTTGATGGGACAGCTGGAAACTAGGCCATTTCCTACTGTGTTCAACAGCCTGGGGTACAAATTTTCAGTATGAAGAGGTGTCTCATTCATTCCTGTGACTTCAGGGACAACTGCAGGCATACTGTCTCAAACTAATATAACTCACTGAGCTCCTAAAGGCATCTAAAGATTGAGTGTTTTCTTACTAGATCTGGGTAGAATCTGGTCAATTCTTGTCAAACTTTTATGACAAAAGTTTGATTTTTTTTTTTCTGAAGGAAAGGGTGCTGTAGAGGGCCTGAAAAGATGAGGTACCACCTATCAAATGGCTAATGGAAATCTCCTAAGGAATCGGGGCTCTGATGCTAGTTAGCACTGGCCCCTTCACTCCTGAGACTCATGCATGAGCTGCACTTCACTAATGCTACAGTATGGGAAAGCAGTCGGAGAGAATACTGTCAAACTTCAACCCTCTGTGAATACTCTTCTTTGTCTTGATCAGTTACTGGGTGTCTTTCCTTTCCTGTGGTAAGCATTAGGTCGCGTTTATGTTGGCTGCTTTCTTGATACATTTTACAACCATGTTTGTATTCCTCAGCACTGTGTTTTTAATCTGACCAATTTTAAAGAACCCAAGTATTATCAATATATATAGCTTTCACGACATTTTCTTTTTAATATTAGATTAGAAATAAATTATTCTTCTTTCTGAATTTACTGTATTTTTACCCATGATGGCCCTTTGTATTGATCGCAATTTTGTCTTTTCAAAATAATCCCACAATGTCCATAAAATAAGGAGCTAAATCCTAAAATGAAGCTTGTCCCATGCTTCACATAGGGAACACTTTAGAAGAACAGATTCCTATTTGATTTAGAAAATAATTCTGAACACTGATAATTTACTTCTCATAAAGTAGAGAAAGTAAATGTTTAATTATTGGGCCGTGGGGGTCTTTAATGTATTCATTTGAGGAAAATGATTTTATAATTGGTATATATTTAGTCAATTTAATAGAAATTTAAAATATGAAAATGTTATAAAGAGTAGATCACATGCATAAAATATATTGATTATATCTTGTGGCACTAAGAATTGATAACATATTTAACATTAGAATATTGTTTTGGCAAGTCTATGTCAATTTGACATAAGCTAGAGTCTTCTGAAAAGAGGGAGCCTCAAGTAAGAAACTGCCTCCAAAAGATCTGGCACCAGCAGGACTGTAGGACATTTTCTTAATTAGTGATTGAAGAAGAAGGGCCCAGTCTCATGTGGGTGGTGCCATCCCTGGGCTGTTGGTTCTGGGTTCTATAAGAAAGCAAGTTGAGTAAGCCATGAGAAGAAATCCAGTAAACAGCACTCCTGCATGGTCTTTGCAACAGCTCCTGCCTCAGGTTCCTGCTTTTTTTGAGTTCCTGTCCTGGCTTCCTTTAATGTTGAACAACATACAATATGGATGTTTAAGCCAACTAAACCCTTTCCTCTCCAACTTGCTTTTTGCTGTTTCATTGAAGCAACAGAAACTCTAGCTAAGAGAGATATAAATTTCTAATCCCTGTAAATTTTCTTTTTTACTAATTTTTCATTATAGGCCTAATAATTGGTTGCTACATATCATTTTAAGTCATGTTATTTTCAACGGAAAGTATAAAGTTAAAATCATATTAGAAAACTATCATTTTATATTTACATCTTCTTAGTTTACTTTATGAGATTAACTTTGTCACCTAACGACTGTTAAATTTCTCACTAATACAAAGAATGAGAGAGGAACCAAGGGGTAAAGCAGGGACTTTTTTTTTTTCATCAACGATCATTTTTTTTTATTACCCTGTATGTGGAACTCTAACTTTTAGAAGAAAAAAAAATAGAATTTTCAAGGTGATGGCAGAGGTTACAGGATTGTAACTATTTTTCGCAGTTGCATATTTTCCAAATGTACAATGTATTAATATGAGATTAGTATTGAGTCTTGTGAGATTAAGCCTGGCCAGGCACTTAAACAGAGATGTTTAACTGATGGTTAAGAAGAGCTGCTTTTCATAATGGTCATGGGATTACAGTACATAATATAACTCACACAAAGAAAATGACTGTGATTTTAACAGCAAGATGGAATGCTATTCTATACAAAGACTACATTGCACATATTGACATAGAATGAAATAACAGTTCATTATATATATAATATCATATATATATAATATCATATCATACATTTAAGGATTTGCATTTGTAAAGTATAGTGGAAGTACGTTTCTATTCTTAATCATATGCAAAGTATTGTAATTCTTTGGTACTGTACAGAATTTCTCATCAGTGTTTATCACCATTAATAGGTACAGATAGTTCAAGGAAATTGAGAGAAAAGCAAAAGAAACAGCTGGATTATATATGAAAATACATTAATTAGAGCAAACAAATGGAGCACATTCCCAGAAAATACTGGAGCTAAGAAATGTTTTATCAAAAATATTTATTTCCTGAAGACAAAATTACCTTTTGTTTCATTACACACTCATTTGGGGGGGGTTCCCTTTGAAAAATATCAGCAATAGTGGGCTTTGTTTCATGTTTCAAAATTATTTAAGGGCCAAGGCTTGTCAGGCCCAAGAAGAACATAGAGAGAAAAAGGATACATCCATCCTCCTTGGCATGAATATGTGGGAGAGAGCTCCAGAGGAATCTGGCTTATACATGTGATCATGGGTATCAGCACAGGGCTGGTGGGGATTTGGCTTTGCTTTCTTTTCTTTGCTGGAGGGATAATGACTCAGAGAAGGCCAAGAAAGAACATTTGCTGTAATGACCTTGCTTTTTTCTGAGATGCTCTAGCAGAATAAGTTTTCTATACAGTCCCTGGTGGCTCAATGCAACTGTTTTCAGAGCAAGTCTGTAAGGAGTGAAGCCTACTGGGTGCCGTAATGTCTGGAACTTCATTCTGCTAGTCAAATGAGAAGAGTGCCCACTTGATACTTTCATGATCTACCACTCTGCAACTTTGAACAGTAACAGAACAAGTTGTAAAAGATTTATTAATGTCAAGCCCCAGCATGGAACACACAAATCGCAAAATTGAAGTTAATCAAGTGAAGTCATTAGGATCTAACACGGGTGGTCATAGATTAAGAGGAGGAGAATGTTTCTTAAGTGATTATTAAATTGAAAAATACTCATCAAAATCTGTCTTTGTGAAGGATACCTACGACCCGTTCATATCACAATCCTCCCTGTGGATTTCTCCAAATTTAACCAAACACAAAGTTTGCTTACAGTCTGAATAAGTTAATGATTACAGACAAATGTAGGTAGGAGTTCAAGTCATAGACTATATGACTTTTAGTAAAACAATCTGTCTTTATTTACAAATAGAAATTGAAAAACAAAACAATAACAACAACAGCAAAAAGCTAAACCAAACAAAACAAAACCTCTAGGACTGAACGTAGCTCAGATGATAAAACGCTTGCCTTGTGTATCCAGCCCAAGTGCCACAAAGGCAGACAAAGATACAGCAATAAACAATAATCATCATGGATGAGCCAGATGCTGAGACTTCCACACAGCAGATAAATTCAATCCAATGTGTCTGTGGCTTTTAAATTGATCCTTGTCCTCTGCCTACAAATTCAGAAACTAAGCAGTTCTGTGTAGCACTATAGATACAGCATAAAATTTACAATTGTCTCAAAACTATCTCTTTAATATTTAAAGTTAGAGAACCACAGTGAATAAAGAATGTTATTTTCTAGCAAGGTTTAAAGAAAAAAAATATATTCTAATTGTTAGGCATCTCCTAACAAGCTTTATGAACAGTAATAGTCTATCTCAAATTATTATTATTTTCCTCGAGTTTAAACATAATGTTAACTCGGACACAGAGCCGAAATTAATTCACTGTGAGTGAAATGACTCATTTCCTGTGGCTTCCTATCACAATGTCATACACTATGGTCCCGCACCTGTTCATCTTTGATATGTCATGCTTTGTCTAGGAGAAAGAAAATCTCCTTGGAGGAGCAAAGAGGCAACAGTGGTAAGAGAGGGAGAAGTCCAAGCCTCACAGCAGGAGTGAGCTAAGATGATAGAGGGCATATGGCAGCATAGCAGGGGTTTCCGTACCTACTGCTTTGCCTTCTCACGCTATTCCTCCTTAGGACTGGGCACAATGCCACGTCCCCTCCCGTGTTAAAACTGTGCTACTCTTATTCCTCCTGAGAGTGGGGAAAGACATTCAATAGAAAAAGGTTAATGTAATTGGTAGTCTTTGTTGTCTCTGTTCTCACAAATGTAAGTTGCTTTTGTGCCAGCAAATGTGGATTCTTCTAAGCTGCTCTAAGAAGGCAGCCAACGTATCTTGAGAGCAAGCTGCATCTCATGTACAATGGAGCCAAGCCATCGTATTTAGATTTGAGTTATTTTGCTTAAGACTGTATTATAGGCTTCATGAATTGCTGAAAGAGACAGGGCACAATACTATTATGTCTTCCAAAGTCAAATATCGACTGCCCTTATTATGTTTTAGCTTGAGAACATTTCCTCTATGTGGAATGGCAGAAATAAGACACAAGAAAAGAGGTAACATCTGTAATCCTTATTTTAGTTTATAATTTTGCAACACACTGTTTGTCATCCTCATTTTTCATTTATTTTGTTTTTTTTCCCATGTTGTCACTCATCCGTTTGGATTTTATTGTATTAGTGAGTGGACAGAAAGTTTCAACTTCACATGAATTCTCCTTTCCAGCACCTTCCATCACATAACTATGGACACTTCAACTTTGTTGGTAAGACCATTCCCTCTAATGAAGCAAAACGTTGTTCTGATGTCTTTGAAGAATAAAGGGCAACTTACGTTTGCTGACAGCTGAGATGTGAGGGTAGCAACTTTCTCCTGGGAGGCAACCAGTTCTCTCCGTAGCTTATGGATTTGCTGTGCAATTAAAAAGTCCAATATACTCAATGAGCCATTAAAGCGAAGGCTTTATTACAAGAAACTAAGTATAGTAAACACAGATGACTCACTAACAACTCCTTAAAGAGAGGCGAATGCCAGCTACATCGCGGCTCTCAAGTGCTACTTATGGCAAGAGGGCTGGATTTCTAAAACTTCCATGTTGGGAAATTAAATCTGCTCATCAACTATATAATTGGTTCACCTTGTAAGTCCTATAGGACTCATGAAATATTTCACTGCCTCTACGGATTCTGTTCCTTCTAAAACATTATTGTGATTAAAAACTCAAACATAAAATAATCTTTAAAAATTCAAATACAATATCTATACACTGTTCTTGATCTTTTATGTAAATGATCCACTTTACCTTTTTTTTCTTTTTTCCGAAAATCTCAGATGCATCCCACATGCATTTTAGTTTTCCATATTTTGTGAGATTTTTCAAAAGTATAATATATTTTACAAACAAAACCTTAATTTAAATATTTAATGAATCTATATTTGAAAACTTTTTGTTCTTTTTGAGACAGGATACTATCATGTAAATCAAACATGTGCTTCTCTTGCCTCAAGTTCTACATTCAGGAATTATGAGCAGGTATCACCATGCACAGTAAGAAATAATTTCATGGGATGGAACTTTAATGGAGAATAGATAATTTCTAGCTAATGCTTCCTAGAATAACTTTATTCATTCACCTACTATAAGCTCTGAACAGAAATGTTTTATAAGTATCCAAAGCGTAAAATAATGGAGACTATAGTACAATTCACTAAAAATTAAACCCAACAAAATAAATATGAAGTGGTTTTCTGAATATGGAACTTTAGTATCACAGACATAATAACATCACATCATATTTAGCACTTCAGTCAATCACATTTACTGTTACCAGGAATCATAAGCAGTGATTAATATGATAATAATTGCAAGCATATGAAAACTGCTTCTGCAAGCATATTTCTGGTCTCAAGAGAATCTAGTCCTTCAGATGCCAAATATTCTACACTGACGCTTCCCTTAAAAAACAAGTCTCTTATTCTTGGGGCTGGACAATTTCAGTGCTTTCTGAGTGTGAAAGGCCATTTTGGACATAGACCATTAAATGTATTTTCCCCTCCTACATTATACATTTTTTTAAAAAAAGAAACAGTGATCAATATCAAGATAAGTGAGAAAAGGGTGTGATATATATCTTGATGTAGAAAGAGCAAACATAAATGTGTATATATGTATACATACATACATATATATACATATATATATGTATGTATGTATACATATATATGTATGTATGTATAAATACAGTTCCTCTGCATACTGCCATAAGAGAAAGGCAGTCATCAATATCATCCAGCTACAAATCCTGTAACCTAAAACAGTGAAGTGCCTGAAAGGTGCACATCACTAATGCAGTAGTGGCACAGATGTTAAGGGAGTAACCAACTACTCCTTAAAAACTAGATTGTAGACCCACCACTCCATTAGACAGAAGCCAGAGCAGACACTGTTAAAGTGTCTAAGTGGCTAAGAACCTGTGACTAAATAGATCATGGTCCCAGGGCCCATGATTCTGCAAAATAGTCATAGCAATAAAATGGCCTTTAATGGCTATATTCAGACATTAGTTCCCTATGCAAGCCTCGTAAGAGAAGATTCCTGCAGTAAATGGGAATCATCTCAGAAACCCACAGCTGGAAAATGTGCTGGGTCTGAGGGACTTTAGAGCACTTGGTCCTAAACAGTTGTTTTCATTAAACTCCTCGTAAGTTTCAGAGACTGGAGAAGAGGAGGCAGAAAGATTATAAGAGACAGAGGTGAGAGATGACGCCAAGATCCAATAGGACTGACACACGTATGAACTTAATAGATATTGTGGCAGCATGCACAGAGCCTGCACAGGTTCAACCCAAACAAGGTGCCACCCAGCACTGAGACGGGGAGTTCAACGTGGGATCCTACCCATACACAGTTTCAGTAAGTAATGATTTCATTGTTATCTCAATTTTTAAAATGGAAATATACCTCAGGCCCAGTGAACATCTGTACTACTTTCATATATCCATACTGGGGTCATTTAATCCCAGAAAACAAAGCATCTTTCATCTTTCAGACCAATACAAACTGAAAGAGAGGTTTTTCTCAACTTACAGCTTTATTATATAATTCTTGTTCCTGTAACTTATAACCTGGAAAACTGCAAATCAATTTACAGTACTTGTTTCATAGCTTATAATCTCCTGGGATCATAAATGACAAAAGGAGAAATGGATAGGTACTACTAAGACACGCAGACACTGCTCCACTTCCAAACCTCAGTAGCTGTCTCATGACCGAAGCTAAAAGCTTTGTCAGATTTATGTGATGTAAAACAGTTTCAATTAAAAAAAAAAAACAATGTATGTCATCTACATTTTCTCAGTAGTTTTTTACATATTTTGGAACAAATTTTACTCTGATACAGTGGTTCTCAACTTTCCTAATGATGCGACCCTTTCACAGGGTTCCTCATGTTGTGGTGACCCCCCAACCATAAAACTGTTTCAGGACTATTTTGCAACTGTAATTTTGCTACTGTGATGAATTGTGGTATAAACATCTTTTAGAAATAGAGGCTTAGCAATGAGGCTTTGGCCCACAGGTTGAGAACTGCTTCTCTAAAAGTTTATGAAATGAATTCGGTGGGAATGATTTAGCCTGCAAGACCATTTTCAATATATTTACTTTCTCTGCAGCAGTGCAAACCTCTAAGGGAGGTGTTACTCTACCCTGAATAAAGTTTAAAGATTTATGTTTAAATTATGTATGTGTGTGTGGTGTGTGTGTGTGTGTGCGTGTGTGTGTGCGTGTGTGCATGTGAAAGTGTCATATCCCTCTGAGCTGGAGCTACAGATGTTTGTGAGTATTAGGGATATGTGCTTGTCTGTTCTGCAAAAGCAGTACACATTCGTAAGTCACCCGGCTCTCCTAGGCTAGGCCACATTTTTGTTTGTTTGTTTTTTTTGTTGTTTGTTTGTTTTTGTTGGTTTTTTTTTACAATGGTAAAGAAGGTTTTTCTGTCCAAGCAGAGGGTTGATTTTATAAATCATTGCAATCAAGTACATGTTTGTGAAATGCTTCCCTTATACATAAAGGAGTAAGTCACAGTCATATCGCAAATAAATAGGCAGGGATTATAGTACCTGTGTGGAAAAGACCTTGTGCTTCACACTCTATAGTTTCATTAATCCTAGAGTGTCCTTTAGGCAGTGAGGAAAAGACAGTGAAATGGATATGCGGTCTTACTACGCTAAAACAAAATTCTTTAATGAATTAATGAGTGATGGCTAGCATAAATAACTTACTAGTTGTTGAGCTAAGACTAGGACAAAATGGAAAGCTTGCTGCAAGAACTTCCTTTCACATTAGATAAGAAGCAACACCTTGATCACAGACGCATTTCTACAAGTCTTGTAACAATGCTAGTGAATCAAGCGCCCTCTAGTGGCCGTGAGACCGATTTCATCCTGAAATGAGGCTAGTTTTCAAAGATTAAAATGGTGTAGATTTTTACCTCTGAATGAGCCTTCTCTTCAGCCTATAAAAAATGAAAAAGAGAACAAAGAGGGATTTTAATTATGAAACTAAGGTTAACTTATTCTACATGTAGAAATGAATAAAATACTTTTAAGATGTATTTACAACTTTTATGATCAAACATAAGAGAAAGCTATAACTAATATGATAAAACAATATACTATAGGAATAAAATGGATATTTACGTGTGACAGAAAATAATATATCGCACAAAGTATTTAAAACTATAGGTATATAACACAACACAAGACAATGAAAGATTTTAAGAGACCATAAAAAAAAACCTTATACTAAAATACATATATTAGACCCCATGAAATTATATGACAAATGGCGTTTACAGGGGAAATTTAGCCATTATTGTTAATAATAGAAAGTAGAGGTTATTAATTCTTATTTTCTTTACTTTTCCTTAACGGTTATTAAGTTTATTGGTAGGCACATCAGCTAAACAACAATGTCCTTTGTTTTAAGGTAGTAATGAAAGAGACAGACAAAGAACATTGGCTGTTCAGCTTATGGAAATGAGAATTCCTGTACAGAATGGCAGGGTGCTATAGATTTCTATAGAGAAGACACTCAGGTCTTTTTTCCATCTTCATGCTGGGCTAGGAAATGCCAGCAAATGAGTTATGTGCACCATTACATTTGGGAGGCTGCAGCAACCCGGAAAGAACTGGAGAATGGGTAATATCGCTGAACAAAATCACTCTGCCCATGCTGCTTGCAGAAAAAGGGCTGAAAACAGTCTTGTCACCTGTTGTTGCTTTCGAGACACTTTGTGATTAGTTGTTTTATAAGTGTCTGAATTCATTTTGCCTGCCTTCTTCCAGAAGTCAGTCTCAGTCTCTCTCTCTCTCTCTCTCTCTCTCTCCCAGAAACACACACACACACACACACACACGCTCACGAATATACACACAAAGCGAATACCATAGCTATCTGGGTATATATTATTCATAAGTGTCTCTTCTAACCTGAATTTCATGTTTCTCTTTTTTCCCTATATTTTAAGAGTGTCACAATATATATTATGATATCCATAGTCTGCTAAATCTCTAACTATGAAGATTTTGTTTTTATAAGAAAACTGTGTATTTAAAAGCAATTCTGACATTTGTCTTGTTCTTTTTACATCTTGTTTTTTTCGCTGCTTAGTTGAAGATGATCTTTGTCTTTTAAAATATTAGTAATTTTAATTTACTATATATGGTTTGGTGTTTGGATCTGCGGTATGAGCAAAAAAAAATGTTAAGTCATTTACTTGTTTAAGCACTACTAACAGTTTTCTTGGACTACCTAATATTCTGTACATTTATTATCAGTTAATTTTGATTATATTCTGCTTTTAGGCTTGTTCAGATTACATTAAAATGGTAAAGACTCAATAAAAAATTGATGTGCCTTTTAAAGAGATCTACTTTATTTAGACGAAGCAAAATATAATCTTCCCACCATCATGTTTTTTTTTTTTTAAAATAACCCCAAGATACAGATATTAGTTACATATTAATGTACTACATGGCATGAATTTTCTCATAGCTGAGTTTCAAGACCTATTATTTTTTAAATCCTTGCCTCCTTTCATAATCTATGGTTATTTTTACCAGTAAGACCTAGTACCATAAAAATGGAGCAATGAGACAAATAAAATATTCTGTCTCTCCTAGTAGCTTATAAATGGTTTTAGTGATATTATAGTGGAGTTTTATTACATGATGTTTTTGGTGAGTTTTCAAAATCAAGACTAACATACTGAAAAGGTGGTAAGCAATATGAAATGTCCTGCCTAAGTAAAAATATCATCTGATTTCTGTATTTATTAGGCCATTTAAAGTTATAATTAAATATCACTTCTTGGCATTGTCTTTGTGTTTCTGAAGAAGCACAAGGATGAAGCATGGGCCTTCTTCCCATGAAATCGGTGAAAATCAGAACACACAAGAGAATGAGATCAGTAAAATGTTCCTATTTCAGCAATGAAAAATTCTACTGTAGGAATCAGTAATATAACACAGCATCATACATATAAAAACTTTAAAAAATCTAAGTATTAAAAGCTGATCATCACACAGATATCTAGACTATGCTTTGCTTTGTCAATTTGGTGGCTATAAACATTAGGAAATACAATCATGACAACTGGGAACACAAACATCTTCAATGCAAGGAAGAAAACTGTAGGTGGCAGAGACTGTGGCCTGTCTGAACACCTTTGTCATTTCCTAAGGAGGACTGAAAATGCAGAGAGATTCACCTTACTGTCACTTGATATTTTCATTTATGTCATTAATATTGAGATATGACTTTCTATATAGACATAGGTATCCCAGAATTTTCTGTGTAAACCAGTCTGGCCTTGAACTCATGGAGATCTGCCTGCCTCCTGAGTGCTGAAATTAAAGACACGCACTGTCATATCCATCCTTTTAAAAAGCAAACAAGCAAACAAACTAAAAACAGAATTGAGAAGTTTACAGTTTTAGACAAAAGCACACCGTTGGCAAGCCTGTGACTGCAAAGATCCTATAGGCAAGGAAGTCAGATCTTATAGGAACATTCCATAACAGTTGGCAACTTGTCTGACATATATAGTCACTGGTAACTGCACCAGGTAAGAATGCAAATTTGTTCTTGATCTAGTTTTCCTAGAAAGATGTAAATGTTAATTATATATTACTGTTTCAGTTCTCAGTGTGAGAAACATATCTGCAGGTGGATTCTGCTATGGAGGTAGAACAAGGTGTCAGATTCCTAGAATTGGAATCACAGACGGTTTTACATCTCCATGTGGGTTCCAGGAATGTGAGCCAGATCTTCTGCAAGAGCATCGAATGTTCTTAACCACCCTGTCATCACTCCAGACTCTATAAAATGGTTTGAACATACTGTTTTTTCATGTATGTCTTCCAACCATCATAGTTTGCCTTCCCACTCCTATCTTTCTCTAGCTTCAAAACCTTTATTGTTGCACTGTTGGTTACTAATAGGTTCTGAAGGAAAATTCTCTTTAGTTGGTACTCACTCCTAAGCCCAACAATCTTCAACTGATAGATCCCAAGCTACGGCCATACAGATTACCCTGGTTAAACTCGGTAAATCACAAAACAAAACAAACTGACATGAAAGTGAAAGAGAGGTTTGTGAGGAAGGAGGTTTATGGAAACAAGGGTAGCGAGATAGGAAAGAAGAGAGAGATAAAAATGACAGAAAAAAAAGAGATAGAAAGGAGAGAGATTGTGTCTTTGACAGTCTGTGCTTTAATGTCACATACAAAGCAAGAAACAAGCTAGGTTAACTTATAAGCAAAGGCTGTGCTATGTAAGCCTATATATTTATATGTATGTATACATGTAGCAAAAATAATTGAACGACCAATCAAGATAATATACAAAAGTAGGAGGGGCTTGGAGGCAGGGAAAGGGAGCAACAAAGAGAGGAGAATATGGGAAGAGGGGACTCAGGGTTATTGAACGATGTTTATATATATATATATATATATATGCATAAAATATAATAAAACCCATTGTTTATATAATTAATAAATGCAAATACAATGGGGAAAATTGTGGAAATAATTGCGCTTGTCTTTAGAGCTTAATTGCTGAGTGCAGGACAAAGTATGTGTTCTTCTCATGTCCTTTCAATACAAAAGTAACGACTACTCATGGAACTTCAGGCTAGATAAGATTCATTATCTGCTCTGAACACCTCACTGAAGGAATCTTCCCTATCTTGTAATTGCCTAATGAGGGTTTAAAAGAGAAGGAAATGCCTTCAAGGACAAACATTCTCAGTTTTACAAAAATTAATTATAGTATCTCACACTGGGGAAGCTGAAACACTGTATTCATCGCTTGAGAAATAGCTTTAAGGAGTAAACTTCTTGCAGAAGGCATTATGTTTTTTTTCCCTAGTGGGAACAAATAAACAACAAAAACAACAAATATTTCTAGGTCTTTGAGGGCCTATGGGCACAACCTTTTCTGAAAAGAAACTTAAAAATAATAACTGGAGAGTATGCTATTAAACAATTATTATCTGTGGATCAGAGAGAATGACAAAATACAGGGTTGGACGTAAGATGGCTTACAGACTCTGTCACACTCCAACCCATTTTATGACATGGTTTTACACATGTTCACTGATCATAAGGAATGCACCAAAGTCAAGTGAAAGGCATGTGAGCGGACCACGGAACGGCCCTATTTTACTAGGCAACTGCTATTCAAACATCAGTTTACTTGGTCATCTGTGCATGGCACAGGCAGGAAAACAGCGTACTTACCGTAGAGTAAAGGGATGAGGTGCTAGAGACCAATGACAGTGAAGAGCCGTGAACTGGAGAAAATAACAACACGGTTAAGATAAGGGAAGTCAATCTGTGAACCCAGATTTTTACTTAAAATATAAAGAACAGGTGGCTTGAGATTTAAAATAACCACAGACGATAACCAGGTCATGCAAAGAAGTTGACTGCAAAGGTTGTAAAGACCCAGCTGTCAAGAGGCTCCATTTACATACTGGCTGTATTCACTCACCAAGTTATAGATAGAAGTAGCGGGCACAAGGCCCACAGTGTGCTTATACAGATTGCAAGCTGCGAAAATGTCCCATGTGTAATAAACAGGAGTCTAAAAACTTCTAAAAGGCTTTGCGTATCATGTTTACTGAATTTAATTTTCCCAACATAAAGATCCAGGTTCAGGTTTTGTTTTTTTTCTCTGCATATTTTCAAGGGAATAAGTACTTGATTCAATTTACTCTCTCGTTATGGTGATGAAGTGATCTCACTCATTGGAACGGGGAATCGATTCTTCCTAAATTTTAATAACATAAAAACATTTTTACCTCTTGATGAAAGTTAAGATGAAAATTGCATTCTGACTTGTTGATACATATCAAATATAACGTCATCACGATTGAAGGTCTGCCATTACTTCTGAAGTTAAAATGTATTAAACCCAATAGGTAGGTGATATTTTGCATATATTTGCAGAAAAGTCCTTCCTTTTTTTTCCCCTTATAGAATAATGCTGGTTTTGCTTTGAATTCATCCCTTAGATAAATATTAGCTGAATACATGCAATACATGACATCCTTGCAAGATTCTGGGGTCATGCATAAATAAGATACAACCCTGTGTGCTCAGAAAAAAGTCAAGAGGCACAACGAAAAACATAACTATAACAGAGTCATCCACATGCTAATGAGGTCAATTGGATACTTCAAAGGCATAGAGAGAGTTTCTATGGTTTGTAGAGGCCCGTGGAAGCTGTATCATAGTGCCTACCCAGATGGCAAAGGATAAAATTTGAGAGAAACAGAGCAAGAAGAGTCTTTTCACTTAGTTTGTGTGTGTGTGTGTCTGTGTGTGTGTGTGTGTGTGAACAGTGCAGGCACACAAGTATGTGCTGGTAGCCAGCGTGAGATATCAGGTAGTTTCCTTTGTCACCTCAAGCCAGAAGGGTCCTCCACTGAAGTAAAGCTTGGCTTTTTGACTGGACATCTTGCCCAGGGAGCTCTGGTAATTTTCCTGTCTTTATCACTCCATGCTAAGTACCATAGGTACGCACAACAACAGGCAACTTTCTACATGGGCATTGGGGGTTCAACTTAGACCCTGGTGCTTTCAAAATAAGCATTGTTACCCACTAGGCCAATTCCCTAACTTCAGGAGAATATCTTTTAAAATCTTTATTAGTATATAAAAGTTTGTGAAGAGGTGGATGAAAAATAACCTCTGGGGCTTAGGACTATTACTTTATCAGGTGTGCAAAGCATTATTCTTTCAGCCAGTCACCTTCTCAAAAGACCTATTTTTTGATCTCTACATAGCTCTTTAGTGAAAAAAAATGATAAGAATTAGTCCGAAGTACCAGAAAGAAGACGGACAGTGGCTTAGAGGTGTCCATTCTCATTTGATTCCTGCCACTTATTCTTGATAGGTCTGTTACTTTATAGCTTGTGGTGCAGTTTCCTTATCTGTCAGTGTGAGCATTGAGCAAGAATTCAATCTAGCCCAAAACTGCCTTCATTCTAGATCATATTTTAAGCAGGGCTTAATGGTTTAGCACTCAATTCATGGGCAGGAAAGAGTTCATTTTGTCCACTCAGGTTAGCTTTCAGCAATTCATATTATTTAAATTTCACGCACTGGATGCCAAAATCTTCTAGCAATGAACATCATTCTACTTGTCAATGTGTACTCTAGAAAGATATCCATATGTTTAGCACAGTATAAAAAGTATAAGGGGCTTCTGTTACAATTCTGATACAATTACTTCATAAAGCCAGGAGTCGAACGTTTCAGTTTAGTTACATTTTGTGCTCTATGCTGCAGTATCAACCAACCATCATCTGTCACTGGGAGCTCAGTGGTTTGGACATTATGCCAAAAGACAGTGGTCAAGGTGGGCAATTGGTGTAATGCTAGCATATTAAATTTACAGTAATGACCTGCAGAACACGAATCCATTCTGATAACTACTTTAACATAGTCACAAGATAGGTTACAGAAGAAGATACAGTGGAAAAAGGAGGAAGAGCTATTGTTTAAGGTGCATTTCAATCACATGAACCATCTAGAAAGTGAATGGAACATACACCACAGCTCACAATATTAGGAAACTCTCCTGAGTTCAGACTATATACAACTCATGGCTAAAGGTTTATTCTCTGGTGTGTTTCAAGAGTTAGGGGTTTTGTGTTGCACACAGTTATTAAATGATGGCTTTCATGTTTGACTTCACTCTAGTCACTTTGGATTTCTGTGCTTAGTTTGATTGTATCCTTAACTGGCATGTGTTCTGATCTGCATGCCATATGCTTTCTTCATGGATAATTAAAAATGATTCATTAAATTAAAACAAAATTTCTTCAATTAGTATTGACTTTTAGATAATATGTACACTTGAGAACACATGTGAATTTTAACATGTATTTAGCTTGCTGGGATTTTTGAGTGAATTTGCTTAGGGTATTCATGTGGAACTGTCCAAAATAAGACATTTATTAGGCCAGGTAGAAATTTTATTGCTGTTAGATAAAAATATGACCTGGAAAATGTAGGTAGAATATAAATTCTAAACTGACACAGTAGCTAACAGCACATAGATCTTCTAAGACTAGACATTAGAAATATCCAATAGCTGTATAAAGCATTCTTTCATGATTTATGTGTTTTTATAGCTCTTTAATAAAGGTGTCAACTTAAACATATGTGACACATATGTCAAGTGCCTCTAAAGCCCTGTGCCTATGTGTAGGAGAACATTGGATTTATCCCAAACATTTCTATAGCCAAGCATCAATCTTAAAAGAAACTGACATACTTCTCAATATACAAAGAAATAATAAAGTATCTTGAAACTGTAGCAAACCCAAAATGAGAATTACACTCATTGATCCAGTTTTCTTTTTTTTTTCCTCAAGGATTCTTATGCTGTGAATAATGAAATGGTTTTCCTTTCAGACTTACATGACATAACATTATTTTTTATCTTCCCCTGTTCCCATCCTCATTACCTTCCTCCATGCTGTCTCGGAATGAGCCTGAATGACTGATGGCACGTGGCCTTTCCTCCAGAGAAGTGGCACTTCCGCAAAGCTGGGCATCATCATAGAGGTCAAAGGAGGAGTCTTGGGCGGGGATGCTGCTGGACCGCATCATACTGGGTCCAGGCAGGTTAAACTGAGAGAGGTTGGTGGGACTCACTGGAAAGCAAGGGAGCAGAGACTCAGGGACTTGGACAGGGAAGATAATTGGCTAAAACAAAGTGAAAATAAATCCTAATTCTTGTAAAAACTGGGAACTCTAATTTTTAGGGAGTTCAAGAGTCCACCTGAAAAACATCAGTAACAGAAATCACAAGTCTTCCCCCTGGGTACTTTCATGGCAATAATCTTGCCAATTTCTAAAGCAATAGAAATCAACACCAAGTCACCTTGGCTGTTTTGTGCTAGAAATATAATAACATGATATTTTCTGGTAAATTATGAAGAAAACATTGTCTCTCTCTCAAGGCTACAAGTTTCTTTTCTAGAAAATAATCACCACTTTAATGAGAAAAGCATAATAGAAAAGAAAGCAAAAATATAAAAAGAGAAATCCAGTCTCCACAAGAAGCTCTTTAGGTGTTTCCAGGCAAAGAATTTGTAGTCGTTTTGAACTGTATCGATGTGAGTTTATTAAAGCAAGGTCATAAAGAAGAGTAAAAAGAGTTTTTCTTAAATAAAATATATATGATGTCTAGTGTCTTAGAATGAGAATCATAAAAAAGCCATTTTCTGCTGGGTCTAAGATGGAAATATCGGAATGAGGTTGTCAAAGAAGAATCTTAAGTGCACAGTTTTAAATAAGTTTCTGTCAGCTGCCTATTGCCTTAGGGCTTTTACAGTATTCTGTGGCTTAGACCAAATGATAATCATGAACTTTGTTAAAGAGCTGGCTGATTAAGCTGACAATTGCATCGACAGACACTAGAGTTTGAAATTTGACACAGGAGTGAGGCAGAAACATCAAGACACAGCCATCATAAATTTGTCCTATTGAAATTTAAGAATTCACTCCCTTATTTAAGAGTGAATTTTTGTTATTGCTCCATTAGGCATAGGCCAGGCTCTGATAAGCTAAAAATGAAACTGCAGAGCACTGTTAGAACATTGGAGAACCACGTCAGTAATGTTGAGTTGATTGAGGTTTTAAAAATGTGCTATATTTTCTGACCCATGACACAACTGCTTAATATATGACTTGTCCTCGTGATGAGTTAAAGCTAGACCTCAAATAAGCAAATGTGTGTATCTACTATTTACAAGGAGTCGAGCTTAACATCATAACTAAAAGATGATTCACAACCATCCTCTGATAGTTGTGCACTGGAATTAAATGAAACCTAGACACGGAATCAAATACACACATACACACACACATGATTATACACACACATATGTGTGTGTGTAAATATGCATATATATGTATATATATATGAACTATAATGAAAATAGAATAAACTATCAATATGTAAATCATATAACTATAACTGGAAAAAAAGTAGAAAATACAAAGAAGGAAAGAAATGATAAGAGACAGAGACGGAGATGGAAAGGCAGGATAGACAAAAAGACTGAGAGAAAGGCAAAGGGGTGAAAGGCGGAGTGACAGAGGAAGAAAATGGTTGAGAGATTTTTTTTTTTTCAGGCAGTTCCACCAGATCAAAGCAGTGGCCACTACTTCTAAATCCTTGTGGTTGCTGACAAGAGCCTATAGCTTTATAAAAGGACATTTAGAACCTGAAAGCTTATCTTCAAGGTACAGAGGTGGAGTACTTATACCTGTTCAGTATGTACACTGTGAATTCACTCTTATAAAATCGATCTCAACCTACGTATGTGCATATCACTCTAACCTTAACACCAGCATTTAAAAGGACCTATGTTCCCTGTCTGGTTAACCATATGAACATGGATACATCCATGCAAATGCTCCTTGTATACTTTCAAATATAACATTTTACCCACTCAGAGTAAAATAGTGGTGAAAGTTAATGCAAATTCTACATAAAAATGTTGAATTTATAAACATTGATTCTTTTCCATTGGAAACATACTAACACTACTTAAGACTGTACAGTTATAGTATTGATGAAAGGTTTGCTGTTTTAATGGTTGAACTGGAAGAGAAACATGACATAGTGTCCTATTTGAAGAGTATCCACCACAGGAGAGGGCTAAAGTGGAGAAGAGCCACATAGACAAAACTATTTTTTAATAGAACACAAAAAGTAGTAATGTAGTTATACGAGTGCTTTAAAAAAAAACTAACTTGGTTAAATATCCAAATTTTACTCTTTCGAGCATGGTGGAAATAATGAAAAATTTATGATCTTTAAGGTCCAGTCACAGGCAGGAGTCACAGAGGATCTCTGAACAGGAGAGAAATAGATGGGCCAATCACTTAATAAAGGTCACTGACCTGTCCTTTAATTGAACACAAAGCAAAACTGTTAAATTTATTGAGATTATATTTGTGAGTAGGAGAACAGGGAACAATGGCAAACTGATTGTAATTGACATATTTATTTCATTTATTTTTATGTTCACACTACTGATTACATTTTCCCCAGTTGCTGGGACAAGCATCTAAATGACTCTAAGACATTCCATACCCTCCCTTCTCTATACAGCTGTAAGCCAATGGCATTAGCGATACCATCTTAAATAAGAAAATCTTATGGAACCTAACTTTATGGAATCTGGACATGGAACTAAGATAACATGGTTGGAAATTCATCGCCATTGCGGGACAAAGAAGTATCCTTGCTCTTTTGAATGACAACAAAGTCTTGATGTTCATAAGACATCAACCGCTCATATGGGATATTGGTAAAGATCATTGTTATTACTCAAACGTACTAGAGTTATAGTGGAAAAAGCTGGAATAGGAATGATTTAGCCTTGGGTCCTTTGGGGTTTAAACTTGAAAAGTTCAATTTGCTGGATTGTGAACTATCTGTAGGTATACTATTGAAACCATGTTTCCTCACCGGACAAAAGATACAGTAATGAGACTATGACATATGTGACTTGACAGAAGAATCCATTTTAAAATATTTATTATTATTATTATTATCATTAATGTATATGTATGTGTGTATGTACAGCTACGTGCTGGGACCTCAGCTGCCAGAGGAGACAGGAGGCACTGCATTTCATTGAAGTTACAGGAGACTGTGATCTACTATGTGGGTACCAGGAAACAAATTCTTTGTCCTTTGGAAGAGCAATACCAGCCCTTAACTGTCAAGCAACCTCTCCAGTCCAGTCCAAGAAATTGATTTTTTGCAACATCACTGGGTCTTTTAAGTGATAACCGACATATTTAGATATGTTTCAGTGTTTTCTCAGTGTTTTCTGTTTCTGTGATATTTTATGTAAATGGCCTCACTTCCTACAAATGATGCTAATGGCTAAGACAGCCATTTAGTTTTTAATAGAGTCCTCTAAAACTGTTCACAGAGTGCCGCCGTCTTCAGTGACATATTCTGCCTGTTAAGGAGCATTCTGATTTCAATAATGTTTCAAGAAACAATCTTGCGGTCACATAATGGCATATTATTTTCAGCCTAATTATTTCTATATTCTCTTTGTCTATGTAAAGGTCATTACTTTTGTTCAACAGCAAGAAAAACTAACATGTTTTACTGAAATATAAATAAGAACGTTGAGACAGAATGGTAAGGATCTTGTTTTTGAGATCTGGTGTTCTGTGATTTATCCCTGCTTATGATACTTACGTTGGTCTGCACTGTATACCTCAGCTTTAGTCACAAAACAATAATAATTATATTAGTTACAATTATTGAAATTAAACATTTGTTCTAAAATAAGTGACACACCGTTTGGAAATTATTCTGTGCACAGTAGGCACCAAGCTAAGGCTATATTTTTTCTAGGTTTTCACCAATATTCCCATGAGAGTAGATTGTAAAAGAAGTGGAACAGAATTGACAGTTTAGAATATTTTACCCAAGTTGGAAAAGTGGTATTTTCCTGTGGCTGAAGATGACATGGCAGAAGGGGAGACCAAGGGAGACTGGTTGCCAGTATCCTGCAGCCCGCCAGTGGAATGTGAACGTAGCCACTCCTTGCCTTCTTCTTGGTTGGCCTGTCGAGATGATGGGGTGTATCTGCAAAACAGCACAGCTGAGACACTTCAGCACGTCGACAAGGACAAAGCACTACCAGGACAAGAAAACAATCGACAGGAGCTTACTGCTCAGACCGAGCCGCAATCGCAAACAGATTGGATCTAATTACAATTGCTCAGTTCCTCCAGATGATTTGGCACCATCTGCTTACTCCCAAAGGGAAAATAAAGAGTGGCATTTGAGAATGAAATGATGCTTCTGTGAGATATGGACTTGAAAGCCACAAGCAACGAGCAGACAGCTGGGTTAATGGAGAAGGACCCCCAAGCACTGTGTTTGGAAGGACCCGAGGTGAGAACACTGATTAAACATGGCGGACCGTGGTAGGGCAAAAGCCAAGGGAGGCACAGTAACATCACAGAACAGCATAGGAAATGGCACATACACTGATAGCTGGAGTTTTATTTCAGTTCTTTGGTTAAAATGACACTTGTTAAGCCCATCACACTGTCCCTGTTACCTGTTTTCTCCACATCGTTTTCTCAGAAAAAAAATATATATATGTGTGTGTGTGTGTGTGTGTGTGTGTGTGTGAGTAAGATAGGTTCATGGCCATGAACTCAATTTTCAGTTTATTTTCTTCTGAATTGAAAAACTATTTAAGACTTGCTAAATGACATTAGATTAATTCAAATTTAAACTGATTTGGTAATTACTGAAAGCAGATGTGGGAAGCAGATATCGGCAATGTGTTTTTATAAAATACAGACTGTAAAATAACACTTAACTGCCATATATGCCCTGTGATGATAATTTATTTTTTTTGCTTCATTCATAGCATAGTTTATTTAACCTTTCATCCTTATTTTTCACAGGTGTAGACTATATACTTTCATTTTTAAATATGTAAAGTTTTGTGTGTTTCTAAACATGTATGGATGTCTATATAGTATGTGTGTGTGTGTGTGTGTGTGTGTCGTGTGCTTACATGAATGTGGAAGACAGAGGAAGAAATTGCGCATCATACTCAGCTGCCTCTGCTTTACTCCTTTGAAATACGGTCTCTATGATGTCACCAAACCCACAGCTACTGGAGCACAGGTGAACAGGTGATTTTCCTGTCTCCATTACTTCCAGTGTTGGGAGTTTCAGGCCATGTGGCTACACTCAGCTCTTTCATGTGGGTGCTGGGATTTGAACTCCAGTCTTCATGTTTGCTTCCTTGAAGAAAGCAATCATATTTTACCAACTGAGTCACCTCCTCAGTTTCATTTTTTGAATTTTTTGACAGTATCTACCTCCAAGGTGAAAAAACCAGGAGAAGTAAATTTATCGTAATGAGAGAGAAATAAATTCCTGCATCCTACCACTAGCTGCTCCACCTCGTGAACAAAGCCTCAGACAAGCTCTTAGTATTTCATAATCATGATATCCCTACTGGGATTTGCTGGAGTCACTACCTTCATCCTCACTGGCATCTCTTCCTAGGGAGCAGTCACCTATTCCTGAAGCCAGAGAAAGCATCAAGATTAAAAGTAATTTCATATCCCCGTGTCAGGCGCTACATAGCAAACAGATGAGAAGAAAAAGAGACAGCACAGAAAGCTTACATAACAACAGAAAAGGCAGTAATTGTGCTGAGAGAAATATATACCTTAGTCCCTTTTTGGGTAGTGTATTTCTGTCAAGCTGCATGCTGTTAAAACAAAGAAAACCCCTAAGGACATAATGCAAACAAAATTTCCAAATCATATATCCAACAAAATGCATCCTCTGAACTATACAAAATAGCCATGTGCTAATGTATACACGAATACCGAACTGACTGGAAAGGCCAAGTGAGTGACTGGATCTTTGTCACTGCAATAAATACGGAATTTCTTTCTATCCTAATGACATTTAAAACAATTAGAAAACACATTCAAGCTTAAGTCATGAGGGCATAACTTTTCTGTGGATGCTGTGGTAACCCCCTTTCCTGTGCAGGTAAGGAAACTTTTGCTGTGACTTCATATCCAGGAAAATCAGTGAGATGACATGATGCCTGCTCTTAAAAGAACAAGTCTTACTAACAAGAGAGGTTGAAAACATCACATAATCCCTGTATCTTTCTTTTATAGTTATTTCTAATAAGGATAACGGTAGATTTGTCTCCCATGGATACACAAGAGATAATTTCATACATAACAAGTATTCTCTTTCAACAATGTTTATAGTATAATTCATTGAGGTATTTTAATGAAGTGAAGCTATCTTTATCTTTCGTAAGTCGTTGATTGGGCATTAAAAGAGTTATATGCCTTACCGTCAGTGTTTTAACTAATTCCCAGCCGGTCAGACATAGGGCTTGATCTAGGTCTTAATAAGGGCAAACTGACTCCCTGAAACTGGAGAAGACAGGGGAGATCCATTCTGATCGCTAGCATGCAGATTAGCAAGGCACAAAATGGAAAGTGGATATACACAACGGCTGCTGGCGTGTTTGGAACATCACACGATCAGAATTAAACACAAGGTGTGTGCACGATGGGATGACGTAACACGGATGCAGACAGACTGACTTAAAATCGAATCACTCAAAGTCAAAGCTAAAATGTTTTCCTCTACAGGCACTCCATCCGTTGTATAAGGGGTCATCGCGATGCTGATGAGTAACTGGCTCTGGTCATCCAATGTGATTATAAAATTTCCTAACTCCTGGGAATAAATATACTGAAGAAATCATACTAAACAAATAAAACATTTCTAAATATGAATTTAGTTGGGCTGTGCGTTTACGTGATCTAAATCCATTTTAAAGACAACTTCTTTCAAATATTGCAGAAAGTGAGAATGTTACTATTATTTTGCCACTGTTCTCTGATTATATAAAAATACTTGTTTATATGTTTCAGTGAAATTTAGTGAAATAACAGAGCAAATCATTCCCTTAAATTGAGTAAGATAGAAACATTTCCTAAACTCTAGAGCAGTGATTCTCAACCTGTGGGTTACAACCCTTTCAGCATACCTCTGTCTCCAAAAAATATTTAAATTACGATTCATAACAGTAGCAAAAGTATAGTTACTAAGTAGCAACAAAAAATCTTTATGGTTGTGGGTCATTGCACCAGGAGGAACTGTATTAAAGGGTTGCAGCATTACGAAGGTTGAAAACCACGGCTTTAGATGTCCATGACAATATTCTGTTGGCCTTTCTGCAAAGGGTCAAGAACTGCCAACTCCAATATCAGCAATGGCTAGGAAGGTAGGGAAAAGGAGGACACTGGGAATGTCAATGCGTGCACTATCTGTCTACTGCCAAGAGTTGTAATACATACCACGGTTGTCACATTTCACATTTAAGGACAAACCAGAAAATGTTAAAGTTGTCTATGACTTTAAATTACTTTAAAAATAATATTTTAGTCACCGTAAAGTCGAATAAAACAAAACGACGTGGATTAGTCATAGTCACATATCACCAATGACTAAATCTTATATGCAGGGAAATATGAAAAAATATATTTCATTTGTATTCATTCATTTTCTTACTTTTTACATTTTAGGGATGAATAATTTATGTAAAAGTTGGAATTAGTATGAAAACTCACCTAACTATTAGTTCTTCGATATGAAGATCAAGGTATAACAAGAGAAATCAAGAACTTATATATACTTCAACATCTATCATGTATGTCTCAAATTAATTTAAAAATCATACTTTAACACAGCATTATAGTTTCAATTTAGTTATGAACTTAGCAGTTATGTCAGGATAGATTTTCTTAAATAGACCACAAGCTTCCTCATATGCACTCTTAAAGTTTAAACTCTTAAGGGTTAATATGCAGATAGACTTTGACGTTTCCTTCTAGGGAAAAAAGAATATACACCATGTTTTAAATAATAATAAAGTAACCATTTGATGAAAGGAATTGGTTACTATCAGTCTTATATGTTATTAAGATATTCACATTCAATTTATATGATTTAATATTCACTAATCCAATTAAAGCATATTTCAGAAGTCTTTATTTTATTATTTTTATACTGAGTTAAAGTTAATCTATTTCCATTATTCCATAACTATAAAATGTTTTGCTTTAAAACAGTAAATAAGTATATAGTTATTGCTGTATTTCTATAATAAATATTTTTATAGAGTGGAGCTAACATATGGAAGAATTTATTAAAATTGAATTCCACTATAGTTATAGAACTTATTGATCTTAACATGTAGTTTTAATTTGACACTTTCTTGATTAAAATTATGCACTTGACCATGTTTGTTAGTATTTACTGTTTGAATACAAAAGAAAGAGATTGAAATCTATGTGTCATCAGCTTTATATTTTCATGTTTATAATTTTAAAATTATTTGTATTTTGGAGGTTGATTATAGCTAATGAATTACGACCTGTTTGTTTGATTTAGATGTCAACTAATTTTTAATGTTTCATATAATATGTTTATAAAAACCAGGATTCAAGTAAGATTGTTAATATATTTTAAATATAATTACATTTATTTGTCATGTCTTATACATGATATGTGATCATGGGTATTTACCTTGGAACTGCTGAAACTAGAATCAGATATGTGATTGAAAGTCTAATTCTTTTGATGGATGAACCAGTACCTGTTCATTTTACATTGGGTATTCAAACCAAGCCAAAAAGGAAGTGGATATGTTTTAATATGTAAAGCCCAATTGTCCCTGCTCAGATTTTTTTATGAATGAGGAAACATTCATTCAATAGGACCATCACAGTAAGTATTGAGAATCAGTGGTTCATTTAGGTCTCAAATACTTTTATGTGGAAGAAGTACATTTTCCTGACTCTCGGTGTGCACAGAGGAGATGGAACATTAAAAGGCTGTATTTCTCTCCTAATTTTGAATTTCACAAAGGCAAGAGAATCCAGAAGAAAATACTTGGAAATAATAGGTTAATGGACAACTTGGGCACTGCAAACTATGTCTTAACAAGGGATTTAACTTATATTTTAAATTTTCAAATATTGCTCAGAGAGCATAGCTGTAGAATCATTTTGAACTTGGTCATTAACAAAGTTTTAATCATCCCAAGGAACTGTGTTGCCTTGAATCTCAAGCCAACCATTAAAAATGTCTTGAGAAGATATCGCTCACAGCATGAATACATAGTTTATATATTTATAGTTTGATATTTATATATTATGCAATATATTATGCAAATTGTCCATTGACTCAAAATGTAAGCATGAAGAAAATTATCCAATCACCCTATCATAAATGACTACTTCTCTGCAAATTTGATAATACGAGAAAAGAATAAGAATGGCCTCATCGATATTAACTATAAATTTAAGTTCAATTTTATGTCAATGCATAGTTTTATTCACAGTGGGGGATCAAGGGAATTTAGTAGGGTGGGGTGGTGGGCACAGTGCGGGAAGAAGGGGGTAAGGACTCATGGATGCCTCCAGGAAAGCTCACCTTTCTGAGAGAGTAGATCTCACACTACCCGTTCTCATGAGCAGGCTCTGCACCTCGTGAGTGCCTGTGGTCAGTCCCGACAGGGAGCCATGATGGCTGAGGGGCAGGTCAATGGACTCAGAGCTCGTATGGAGACTAGTCATGGACTGGTAACTTGGAGTGTCCTTGCTGCCGGCAGAGGAACTGCTCAGATTGGCAGCCCACACAAGCCCACCGGATGTGAAAGAGTGAACCGACGCTGGGCTGGAAGCCAAGGAGTGACTTAAGCTTATAACATCTGTAGTTAGGTCTGAGGGTTTATTGAAGAGAGGGCTGCTGCTGCCACTCAGCCCACCAGCACTGCCCATGCTTCCGGTACCGGACGACGGTGACTCCAGACTGCCTTGTCGGGCTAAAGAGGTACTAGGGCTGGGCACTGCTGAGGAGGATTTCACCCCCTCAGTATTAGGTGCGGAGGCAGATTTGCCACCTGCCTTGGCACCGAACAACCTAAAAGAAAAACAAATAACAACTTGAGTTGTTCCAAGAGACTCATATCCACGTTTCCTAGGGTTTCAGTCCACAGAGCCAAGTGTGCTTTTGAGTAGTGAGTTACCAAGCACGTCCAGCCTCTATGTTCCTGAAGGTCTATTTATTAATCAACTACTAAAAAAAAAAAAATCTCTTATAATATCTTAAGTAAGCACTGGCCTGCAACTAAGGTGGCAGCAGTGGATAAAAGTCAAACATGATTGTGCTTGACTTTTACACTTCTAGTGATCAAAGGATTCTCCATTTTGGCATTACCTAGCTACAGAACCATTATAATGAAACAACTTCTACGCATTCGGTATATGACGCTTAAATGTATTTTCCTCTTTTTAAAATAGATTGTTCAAAAATCTAAAGGGCACCCTTAAGAAAAGGTTCAAAAAAGTAAGGTAATGTCTAGAGGCCTGAGTGGCTGGGCTGGAAATACTGGATCTTGCTGGCAACTGATGGATTTGTTTGCATCTTCCCATGGAAAACCACAGGGATTTGGATTTCTGTCCGTTGCCAGAGCTATTCAAATATATGTTTATACCAGTGGTTTAAAATACCATGAGTACTAAGTTAGCTACTGGAGTTTAGTTCAGAAAACATTTTAGTTTTGTAAATGAAGCAGATGACATAATCAAATTTATGCAAATATGAAAATAAAATGATATGAAGAAATGGCAGAATGGTTACTAATTCAGCTGCAATGAAATCCATATTTCCTGCAGTGGAAGATTTTTATGGCGAATATGAGAAATTGTTTCATAGGTAATGGGCCACTGGAGGGCGCTCTTGGCTTTCACATTAGCAATGAAAATATTTACTCTTGCTACAAGCTATCATTCATTCTTTCCAAGAACTGTCATTACAAACCATTCTTCACGATCAATACTTCTAATGACAAAATTGACTGCTCTTTTTCAAATAGTTATGTTTCTAAGGTTACTTAAATGTAAATTCTTCAAGACTCTTCCTATGAGATTAAAGTTCTAGGGTTAATCAGGAGAATAAAAAAAACAAACCAGAAATATTTAACAACCAATAGGTAATAAATTATACTCTATCATTTTGAAGAGGAGAAAACAGAGCCAGGGTTATTTAACAATTTGTCTTAACTCATCCACTAATTTTTGACTCCTGCTACTCTTAAGGTATTTAAAATCAGGTTTATTTCTAGGCAGAACTTCATAAACTTAATAAAAATATAATCCTGATACATAAATCAGATATTCTTCTGGTTTCTATCAAAGGATATTGATTAATGAAGTCTTTATAAAAGTCACCTCCATCCTGAGTTCTTGTCCTAGGTCAAACATCTAAATGTTTCAAATTCTGCAATTAGATCATACTTTGATAACTTTTGCTGTTGTTGTTACTAGGTTAAGATCTAGTACTGTATAAACTGGTCCACTATAAACTGCTAGAAAGAATATATCATCTATATTCATAACTGCCAACTCATTAAGCATCAGGAAGATAATTTACACTAGAAGTAAATGTAGTGTTATTAAAGATCTATGCAGTTTGATTTTTTTTTAATTATGGAAAGGAGAGGTGAAATTGTTGAATTATCTTAGAAGCTATCACTTTACTTCTATGAATAGTCAGTCATGTGATATTATGCCTGTTACATATGCCGTTTGTATTTCTAGTGTCACTCTGACTGTGTCTGAAATGCTAACCAGCCTCTAAGTGAGCACCACCTTTCACACTAGCAAATGGTGCAATCAGCTCTGTAGAATTCACTATATTTTCAACAAAGTCTAGGATACAGAATCTTAGAATACTTAGAATACATTAAAATAACTTTATGCAAAATAAACGCATGTTATATACTACCTTTTAAGTTTTCCCAGCATCTCTTTACATACCCTTACCTTCGAAACGTAGGCGAGGCAATATCTGGATATTTGGACCCTGGCTGTCTGAGCCCTTGAGTACCACAGGCACTAGCAGAGGTGGGGCTGGATTTGGGGGAACCTGACAAGGAAACACTCTCTGAATCCGACACTGCTACTTTCTCCTTTTCTTTGTCTGTTTGGTTGACAGTGACTGGACTCGAGCGCCCTGAGCCGATCTTCGTGGGTTCTCTCAGTTTCGAGGTGGTGGCCCCAGCTGACTTGCTGCTGACATTGGAATCGATGCTGCTGGTGCTGGATCTGTGGCCACCTCTCCCAGGGATACCGCTGGTGCTGGACTTAGAAGGGCGGGGCAAACTGCGGTACTGGAGGGTAGTCTTCGAGCTCACATGCAGGACAACATCATCTTGATTCTGGGACCCGTCCAGACTGGTTTTTCTTCCTGCGTTGGACTTCCCACCAATGGCAGCGGATTTGGGGATTTTTCCCAGTGTAGCTGAGCCGCTTGTTATGGTGGCACCGCTGTTGGTAATCATAGGAGAGGCTCCTACACTACTTGGCTTCTTATATCCAAAAGAACTGCTGGCTGTCGATCTTCCAATGCCTGAGGGTGGCTTTTTCCCTTCCTCCCCACTGCTTTTCCCTGCATCTGAAGGAGACCTTTGCAAGGATGATCCTTTGAGAGGAGTTTTCCCTTTCTCTGAAGCTTTGGCATCGTCTGTCTTCCCTGATTAAAGAGAAACACACAGGTAGGTTCATTTGAGTATTTTGACAACAGAACACCTCCAAAACCAAATGTAAATCGTGAATGTTCTTTAGCTCTTTTTGTCACTTCGGTTCTGAAATATTTCTTGTTTCAGATCTAAATAGGCATGCACTCTAATGAGAAGATTGGGTGCAAAGCTAGAAAAACAACACTGTCAGAGGCACTGTGATGAACATAGGTCAATTGAGTGGAAACATGTTACTTCCTCATTTGTTAATGTCTTGTATCTTATGACAATGTTGCTTCAGAAGGATGTCACTTTTTCCTCTCTAGCTAAATACTGGACAAAAAGTTAATCTCAGTCCCTCTATCATGATTTTATCCAAAGTACCCCATGATACCACATTTTAGATGACACTGTTTATAAAATACCGAGAGAGTCTTAAAAGACAGATGGTGTAATTGAGCAGAATTCTTTCACTCTTTTCTTTCATAAAGCTCAATTCACAAACAGAATCTGCATAGCTGAGCATTGTAACTCTCTGGTGAGTGCGGCGGTTCTCAGTGCTCGGGTTTGTGGCCATAGGTAGTAGAATTCGCACAATCCATACTAAACATATTCATTTAACAAGCCAGGAAAATGAGATATTTGGGGAAAGCATTTGAGGTTGTCTTCTAGGAATCTGGCAGGAATATGGCATTGAGCTAGGATGGGGGAGTAGGCTCAGGCAGGAATTTGACTTTGGGCTAGGACTCAGGAAGTAGGCTCAAGATAATACAGTAGAGGAATGTGTTCTTTGTATCTTGATGAATACAGTAAGGGTCAAGGGACCTTCCAGTTTATGCTTTGTTTGTTCCTTAACTACTTTGTTCATGACCTAGAACTGACCTGATTATCTGCATGTACTTAAAAATGGTATAAAAGCAGACTCGGAAAAAAATAAACCTACTTCAGCCTCAGCACTGGCTAGAGTCATGCTATAGGGTTGTCTCATTGTCTTTTTCTTTTCAATCCTCCCTCCTTCCCGTGACATCCAGTTGACTAACTTGCTCTGGCTTGGTCAGTTATTTTCCCAGAACCAATACTTTACCTGTGCATGACGTAAAGTGACCAGAGTAAAATAACAGCGCATATCAACCCAATGCTAGAAGAATTATTCCCACAGGACTCTCAGATTGTCACACTCCTGTGGGCCTATAGGACAACGTGTGTGGTTTATAGAATATAATCTTTAAGAAGAGCCTGGTTCTTAAAAGGAGATCTAATACGTGTGAATACAGATGTCAAACTAGACCACAGGTTAAGACTCTTTGGCAGAGAAGATTTCAAGTGACAAGCCTACCAGGTGTCTTGAGTGCACTTGTGCTGGTTTTCTGCCTAGCTGGTGTTCCCCCCTGGGCAGACATGCCTCTCCTCCAGGATCCTGTCTGAGACACGGACAGGCTGGCTTTCTGCCCTGTCTTCTCTGAGTCTTCAGCAAGTCCAGAAGCGACACCCTTCCACTTGGCACCTCCATCACCATGGCTGTCAAAATCTTCCTCGGTTTTCTTCAGCTCCTCCGGACTATCCCAGGTCTCATCTGTTGTCGAGCGTTTCTCGGCATCTGTTTTCAGCTGTAAAGAAAAACTTCCCTGTGAAGGAAAACCTATAAAACGTGAACTCAGACCTGAAATGCACACTTAGATAACTGGTAGGGAAATATCATGAAGCACTGTTTTATACTTTAGAAGAATGCCAGAGATGATTCTATTTTTAACTACTGTCTCACTTACATTTCCTCAATTTGAGCCATAGAATTTCCCTTTGTAGATATTAGAGAATGTCAGGATTAATAATGTTCAGAAAAGTCTAATTAAACTCCAAAAAGGAAGGGATTCTTCTATAACAAGCGTTGACAAGAAAAGCCAAGACAAATAGGATATATTCAATGCTCTTTTTTGATTTACCAGTCGCCAGTGAGCCTAGTAATTTGTTTTTTAGATCACTATAAAATTAATCAAGAAAAATCCAATGTGAGAATGCTTTTAAACTTGGTTTTTAAATAAAACAGTATTAGAAGGAGGGAAAATGTCAATGTGGGTCTTTCTGGGTTTGACATCAGCAAATCCACCTAAGCTGCTTCTGATCTTCAAAAGAGGCTGGGGTGGGCACTGCTATAGTTCTGAGGGATATATAACTACAGGAATAAAACACTTCAGATTCCAGTGTTGGTGAGTCTTTATTATATCTGCTTATTTGACTTATGCAAATTCTTCAGATTAAAGAGTTGAACCACAATCTAATGTAACACTAAAAAATTAAACGGAGAAAGAAATACAATTAGTGGGAAAAGAGAGGATGGCTCTCACCTGAGTGTTCTTTCTGGAGGGGACAGTGATGTTGGAGTAGGAGCTGACGGAGGACGTGGTGTTGAGGTCATCTGTGCTAATGTTATCAAGCGTATCACTGAGACCACTGCTCACGGAACTGCTGTCATCCCAGCTAAAGGAAAGACATGAAACAGCAATGAGCCAGTCACTGGACAAACAAGATGAACCTCCCACATTTCCACATAATGTTGTCTTGAATTATAAAGGCAGAAAACATCTTCTATTGTGAGAATTTTCTCACTGTCCAATTTGAAACCATATTTATAAGAACTGAACATCTGAGAGGTTCTACCAATACCTGACCAATACAGATACAGCCAACCATTGGACTGAGCCTGGGGACCCCAGTGGAAGAGTTATGGGAAGGACTGAAGGAGTTAAAGGGGATTGAACCCCATAGGAAGAACAATATCAACTAACTGGACCACCCAGAGCTCCCAGGGACTAAACCATCATCAACTAAAGAGTACACATGGAGGGATCCATGGCTCCAGATACATATGTACAGAGGATGACCTTAACTGACATCAATGGGAGAGGAGGCCCTTGGTCCTGTAGAGGCTCAATGCCCCAGTGTAGGGGGATGCTAGAGTGGTGAGGCGGAAGTGGGTGAGTGAGTGGAGTATAGTGTATCTATATAGAGGCAAAGGGGAGTGGGGGAGAGGGGAGTTTGGAATGGAATGGGGGATTTGTGGAGAGGAAACTGAGAAGAGGGATAACATTTGAAATGTAAACAAATAAAATGAATAGTAATAATAAAAAAGAACTGAACATCTATTAAATATCAGCCATACTGGTATTTCAGAAGAACCAGAAGACAGGGGTTTCAGATGGACATTTGCAGCATGAATAAAAATGCTGAGAGAAGAGTGACATGTCAGCTGAGTCCCTCAGCCCCCACCCACAAAGACAGCCTGGAATCACAACATATCCCAGAAGTAATTCTTTGTCCAAAAAATGTTTGTAATAGCCAGGCATCTGAAAATCATTATTTGCTTTTCTTAAAATTATAACCACTCAACCATGTTTAAATATCAAAATTTACCCAGTCATCTCATCTCTCACAATTTTGAAGAAAACAAGACAGCCTCTTATTTGCCTTTCCTGTTTTTGGCCTTTGCCACACACAACTTCAGCTGCTGCTTCTGAGCGAGGGATCAAAAGGTCACATTTGGGGCCTCGAAAGATGCCTCTGCTGTTAAAAGGACTTGCTGCTTTTGGAGAAGACCCAGGTTTAGTTCCCAGTACCTACAAGACAGCTTAAAGCCATTTATAAATCCACTTCCAGGGGATCTGATACCCTTTTCTGGCTTCTGTGTATTCCAGTTATACATGTGATATACATGCCTGCATGAAGGCAAAATTATTTATGAACATAAAAAAGATAACTTTTTGAAATGTCACATCTGGCCACTACAGTGCCCTGCTACAACCATCAAAGGCTTCTCCTGCCTTATGGTCTAGCTCCCAAAAGTAAGCACGTCTCATGGGATACATAAGGAAATCTACTAGAGGGATAAGACAAAGATCTGAAACCCTTAACATACTTGTTTTGTTATCTAAACAAGGAAGTAGGTTATGTTAATAACCAAGTGCATACTAGCTTGGACCCCATTGTTCAGTCAGTGTGTTCGATGTGATGCCACATTAAAAACTTCAGGATATCCAGATAACTTGAGAGAGAATAGGGATTTCAGTGTGTACAAGGGAGACCATTGTCTGCTCATTTGCTGTCTGAGTCCCAGCCTGTTGATATATTGCTACTCACTTGTGCTTTGATATATATATTCATGCACCATAGGTATACATACTATATATAAACCTAAGTCTCATGAAATGAACACTTGTGTTTTAAAGTCATTCCAAAAATGATCCAAACATTGCGGATACTGTTCAAACAGGCAACATAAAAGCACAAATAAAACATAAAGGGGACAAAATGAACATACTATAGAGACCCCATCCTAAGTTCCAAATAATAATGACTTACTTAGGTACATGTGACACAAAAGTAATTATTAAAAAGAAAACCAAGCTTACCAATATAATATATTACTACCAGGGATCTTTATAAATCAGACTATTATCAACAATAATTATATCTTAACGTGTATTTTATACCATGAGAGAAATATCTCACTTCCATGAGTGCCCAATATTTTTGAATACCTTTACTATATATTATTTCGTAACTCTCCATATTATTAGCTACAGCATCAGTAAATACCTCACATGTCTAAGCTCCCTTGCAGAAAATTGTCATGCAGGGTAGATACTGTCTACTGTCTATACCCAAAGAGAGAGAAAAATACCCATTTTTGTAAGCAAGTCAGCAGAATTGAGTCCTTCCTTACCTGGCAGAGTCACTCAGTTTTTCCCTAGAAGCATTGGTGGTTTCTCAAGTCCAAAGTATTACTTAACTAGAAGTAGCATAATTTGGATGCATGCTTTCCTAAGATCCAGAAGAGGGCCTACGTTTTCCATCACCTCCCAATTCAAAGAGTCTTCTAACATGTTTAAGTCCATGTATTAGCAGAAGTAGATCATGTAATTTGCAACTAAGACCTTAGTAATACAATTATCAGTTTGAAAATACATTTTATGGCTTACTTATTATCTCTTTTAGTATTTATATTTTACATTTTGAACATAAGTTATTAAAATTGTATCTTGAATACCACTATATCAACTTAACCTCAAGTTCTTTAACAAGTATATAATATATCAAGAAAATAAGTAGATAAGTTAAAGACTGCCTGGAAATGTTAAATTATATTTAAGAAGGGGTTGGCATGCAAAAGATATTCATATTTACTTGTTTATTTGTACACACACATGTATGTGTGTGTGTATGCCTGTGTGTGTTTGAGTGTGTATATATGCATGTGTGTGTACATGCGTATGCCATGGTGCATGTTTGGAGTTCATGTTACCATATTGTTTATCAGGGCTTTGTGTGGGCCCATTAGAAAAAACTATTTCTCTGGCTTAGATAGCAATCCAACATCCCAAGCTACACAGAACATGAAAGGTTGATACAACTGTGTGTCTATTACCTGGCCAAGACATCATTCTGAAGGTGAGAGTGGTATTAGCAATGTCAACTCACAATAAGCAATGCTAAATAAATAAAACAATTACCCATTTAGTGATAAACTGCACCCTTCCTTCCCAGAATTCCCTCTCCCTTGTATTGTTCCTATAACCCACCTAGAGGCTCTACTGGGCCCATCTGCCTTATAAATACTAACTCAAAAGGCTTAACAACTTATTTGGTTTTGTCTTGTTCTTTCAGGTGCTCCCAAAGCTTAAAGTCTGCTTTTGGGATCTCCTTACGCTTCTATACTCTTTCATAAAGTTCCACTTCCAGCCATGTATCTCCCTGCTGCCAGGAGGAGGCTGAAATCCAAGATTCTTACATTGAATGGCATGGCTTATTTTCATTCTCTTCTCCATTGTCCACCAAGCAGCTTCCAAGATTTAGAGCTTGGCAGCCCGGAGCAAGTTTCTTTTAAACTCTATTAATCGCTTCCTTGGGCTTTTGTTTGAGACTGTTCATAATTTTCTTATTAATGAGACTGAGAACCCCAAGAGGGTATCTGAATTCTGTGGTATCAAATGGTAACCGTGGAGGGACGACTCAAAAATTTCCAATAACAGACAAAGAACAAGTAGTGGGAGTGGGTTCTACTCTCTAAGTTCCTTAGGTGGGATGGGGTGTTTGGGAAAAAATAGAGGCTGCAGCGGTGGAGTCCCAGTGCAGGAGAAACCTCTATGGTTCCATCAGCCTGGAGGCTTTGGCGGTGGCAGGCCCCAATGACTTGAGGAAGTCCTTGGTTCCAAAAGGGTTTATTGTCATGGCGGATGGTGGATGAATCTGGATGTACCCCTGTAAAACTCAGGGCAGTCCTGAGTTATATAGTGAGGGAGAAAGGGGGAGGATCTGGGGAGGATCTGGGGAGGCATGCTTAATTTGCTCTGCCCTCTGGCCTTCATTAGTATGTAAATCCCTAGGGCCTGAGACCTGTAGTCATGCCCCCTACCTGTGCATTTTGGGAGGGGCTGTAATGGCTGGCCTATGTGTACCCTTAAGCAGTCCCACAAGGGTGCACATCTTAAGGCTTCAGGGCAAGGACTTTTGCCTGCTAAGACATCTCTTTCTCATCCCTTAACAATATCTTCTTTCAAATGCAAATCCTAGCTTTAAATACTACATTAAAAACACTATAGCTGCTGTGATCACAACTATCAGATACTTTTTTAAATGTCCCAATATAACACAGTGGCCTTAAGTCAGACTTATAGAAATGATAATCTAATAATATCATGAAGTTTCAGTCTCTCCTTGAACACTGAAAGGAAGTCCTCATTGAACAAATAGAAGGGATATGAAAACTAAATTTCAAATCAAGCTTGATGTAATGGGACTGAAATGGATATAGGAGTCCTGCTTGGATTAGACTGCTCTAACGGGCAGCATCTAGTTGATAGGATATTGAATATATTCAATTTTATTAGCATCATACCCCCCTTGAACACTGCCCCCTTCTCTGTTCTCTTTTTTGTCCTTTCCTGAAATGTGCTCATGACCAGAATTATATTCCCTGTCATCCTCACCGGACTCCTCTGAGTCCAATATTATTTCTCTATTCTTGAGAACTTTGACTTGCTCACTATCCTGCCCTCCACTATGTTAACTCACCTTAGGATGCCTTCCTTGGCAACAGACAACCTTTCTACAACTATGGAATCAAGGCTAGGCTTTTGGAACCTCAATCATTAGCTAACCTACAGTTCTTTCCTGATGACAAGATCTGGGTTTTTAGCCTTATGAGCAATCTTTGTTATTGTGGTTCAAGAATGTCCTGTCAAGGCCCACTCTATGTAGTTTACATTATCTTTTTCTCCGAAAATCATTTCCTTAGTTCACCGGCATTTGTAGTGGTTTGAATATACTTGGCTAGTGGGTGGTACTATTAAGAGGTGTGGCCTTGCTGGAGAAAGTGTATCACTTTGAGGGTAGGCTTTGGGACCCTCCTCCTAGCTGCCTGGAGGAAAAGATCCTTCTGCCTGCCTTTGGATCAAAATGCAGAACTCTCAGGTCCTTCTCCAGCACCATGTCTGCCTGCATACTGCCATGCTTCCTGCCATGATGATTATGGACTAGTCCTCTGAACCTGTAAGCCAGCTCCAATTAAATGTTCCTTATATGAGTTGCTTTGGTCATGGCATCCCTTCACAGCACTGGAAACCCTAAGACAGTATTGTTTGCTGATCCTAGATCAAATATGAAGCCTCATTCCCAGTGAAGTTGTCACCATGGCTGGCCACTCTTTTGTTATACATTCTCCCTTTTTACTCAATGTACTCAAAATATTGCTAAGTATGTATTCTCACTCACTGTGATACATTTTTCAAATGGCTCACGGTTTACTGGGAATATCAACTGTGATAAATGGGTCCAATAGAAGCTAGTAAGAGCAGTGACAGAGGTTAGTAGTAAAAACGGATGGTGTGACAGTCAGGATTAGTCCTCTGAAGGGTTGGTATCTTCAGGATGTGACCATGGCAGTAGCAAGCAGATGAGATGCTATGCTAATCGGGCTACTGCTGTATCTTCATCATGATGACCTACCATTTTTTAGTGTGTGTTTTCTGTCTTCTTTCTCATACTGTGAACAATGAACTGTGCTTTATTTATCTCTATAGATCCAATAGGGAATGTAGTGTATGTTGTTGACTATGCCTCTAAATTATATTGCTAAATGAAGCTTTGGTTTTGAAAACCCTGCTTCTACTGGGTGACTTTAAACTGGGTTAAGTCCGATAATGAACAAAAGATTTGTTAACTGTTATTTTATTTGTATAAATGTTTTGATTTCACTATATGGGTATACCGTGTGTGTGTGTGTGTGTGTGTGTGTGTGTGTGTGTGTATGTATGTGTGTGTGTTTCCATAAATATCAGAAATGTGAATCTGATCTTCATAACTGAAATGACAGAAGAATTTGAACTCTTATGTGGGTGTTGGGAACTGAACCTGGACCCTCTAAAAGCACACCAAGTGCCCTTAACCTCTGAGACAGCTCTTCAGCTCACTGAGATGAAAGTTTTAAGCAAAATTTTGTTCCACACAGTTCTTTTTAAAGCAAACTTAAAATAATCCCCTTGAAAGATAATGGAGTTATTTTTTCTAATCTTAAGTTTCCATGACATTTGACTTTCTTCATTGATTTTGTAGATAACAGAATTCTCCATAGCAACCATGCAATTAATTCTGTTGATTGTCACACATTTAATTAAGTTGAAAAAACTTAATAGAAAATAGTTTTTAATGAAAGAATTATCAGCATAATTAGCTCTGAGTAGTAGGTCTCAAATCTCATCAAATATTTTCCCATCCTTTCATTTTTAATTGCGTTAAGATCTACTAAGTGTCCTTAACCATATTCTATAAAAAAGACGCCTCTTTATTTCTTGCAAATTACACATCTATAGTTCTGGTAAATTTTACCTTTACAATCTATGACAATTTCATAAATTATGGGACTGCTACTCACATGGTTTCTATTTATACATTGTATGACTTCTGTCTTGAGGCACTATAAGTAAAATTAATATCATTCACATACAAGACTTTGCATGGACATAGTCTTTGAGTCACTAAGTCAGAAAGCAGTCCTATGTGAGAATGGAAGAAATACTACAAACTCTTTCCCATTGTCTATATATAATTTTGCATTCTATATCAGTTTCTGTCGTCTGTCTGTGTCTGTCTTTCTCTATCTCTGTCTGTCTGTCTGTCTGTCTGTCTAGTTCTCTCTCTCTCTCTCTCCCTCTCTCTCTCTCTCTCTCTCTGTGTGTGTGTCTGTCTGTCTGTCTGTCTGTCTGTGTATACTGGTGTGATGGATGTGCTTACTTTTGAGGTTCATTTATAGACCATAAGTTAAAGTTAGGATACCTTATTAACCATTTCTACATCTTGTTTTTAATTTTATTTCTAATTGAGACAAGATCTCACTCTGTCGCTCTGGCTGGAATGCAAATCACCATGTAGACCAGGCTACTCGCACTCACAGAGATCTCCCTGGTGGATTTACAGGCATCACCACCCTGCCCATTCAGTAATATTGTCAGATAGGCTTTCTCACTGAACTTTGGGCTCACATTTCATCTAGCCTGGCTGGTCAGCTTTGCTCTGAGAACTAATTATTTTCTTACTCCAGTGTTAGGGTTCCAGAAGCCAAACACTAAGCCCGAATATCATGTGAGTGTTAGAGATCTGAGTTTTCACTGCAGGCAACTGAAAACTGAGCCACCACCTAAGCCTCAATTTTGTACTCTTAGCTTCAGAAACAGCTGTTTCAGTCATCCCATGGGCTTTTTGTTGCAAGACTGAGGTTTACAACCTTGATGAAATGAAGTAACTAACTGAATAGTTCTGAATATTCTTCCTATTCAAAAAGTCCTGCTCCAGATTACAGGTTTCCTCCATCCATTTCTACAAAGTTTAGATTTCTTAAAGCTTTAATTGTATACAACATATAGATCAAGTTATTTGCTTAATGTATAGGTTTATGACCTTTCCAGTCTTTTATGAATTTAGTTTCCTTGGAATGTTTATGATAATAAACAGGTGACTCTACGCATATTGGTTTATTTCAGGGTTCCTTATTGCTTTGATTTCTATGGGAATTTTAGTGGATATTACCATCATGCTGTAGCTTTACAGTAAGCCTTAAAAACAGATCATGTAAGTCCACCAGATTCAGGCACCTTTTACAAAACTGCTATAGCTATTTTTGTCCTTAGCATTTGCATGTGATTTCAGAAGCAGCTTCTAAGCATCTATTGAGAAGCTTCCGGTTACTTGGTTTGCATTATCCTAAGTCATTTTCACTTGAAACTTACAACAGAGATAAATGTGAAAAGCATGAGTTGAAAAGAAATGCAATTATTAAGAGTTTGAATTGCAAGAAATATAAGAAAAGGTCTATCTTTAGAATTGATCTGACCTTCTTAAGAAACCATCCATGAATTAAAAAAAATATGTCTTATGATTTTATCTTTTGCTTAGCACAAACTAATAATCTACTGAGTGGAAATGACCTAGAATTTTGCTGATCAATTTTCTATAAACTGGATCCCTGTACCTTCTGGAAATTAGGGAGATTGTTGTTCTCTATTTTCTCATTAAAATGGAGCAATGAACCTACAAAATTTTGGCTGAAAAAAATATAAAAATCTATTAGGAAATACTGACATCCTCTCTCAATCCACAAACAAGGAATAGTTTTCAATATATTTCTTTCTTTCTTTAATTTATTTGTGCAATGATTAAGTCTTTAAATCACAGAGCTTTGAAAAAATAAATTGTATTATATCATGGCAGCTGTAGAAAAGTTTAAGTGTTCCTGGTTTACTTTGTTGTTTTTGTTGTTGTTATTTGTATGTCA